CGCCATCTTTTTTTGATGAAAAAGTGCTTCCGGTGAGCTTTCTACCCGGAAAAGCTCACCGGAAGCACTTTTTTACCAAAAAAAGATGGTGGCGCCCAGCAACCAGCGGCCCGGTAAGACTTGTTCCACGGACCGGTACCGGTCCGCGGACCGGCGGTTGGGGACCCCTGATGTGGATGACGCAGCCTTGTGTTCCCATGCAGCCTGGATTAATTGCTTTGGGAGGTTCTCTAGGGGTGACATTTCTCTGCGGACCACCAAAATTTTCTCGCGGACCACCAGTGGGCTGCAGCCCACCGGTTGGTGACCACTGCACTAGGGCCTACTGACAGAGGAGATCCATCAGATAAATGTTTTGTCCCAACTTCCCCACAAACAACTAAGAACCTACAGCTTTTCTAAGGTAGGCTATTAAAAATAAATAATTTATGGGAGAGTAATACAGAACTTTTTATTTCCCTTAGTCTGAAGAGAAACCCAAGACCAGAGAAGTTTAAAAAGAAAACCAAAGATGCTATTAAATTTTAAAGTGATATTTTATTCAAAAGTTATTGCTTCTAGTTAGATTTTTTCCAAATTTCAACATATCCTTATATTCAATGGATTCAATTGTATTTCCACTTTACGTGCAGACAAATTATAAACCCTTAGCAGATAAAACCACAAAATAATTTATCAAGTTCTACAGACAATTTTGGCTACAACTTTTACTACATATAATGGATAGTACTGATTTCACTATTATTCTGTGCAGAATTCATATTTTTTCACTAGGGGACAGTAGAATCTAATGATACTGATAATTATATTTTTTTAATCAGGAAGTTAAGCATCTGACAGAACTGTTTGTTCCCAAGCTTATTCTTTTTCCCAGTAGCTTACTAATATAGCATCTGAAATTAAAAAAAAATTAAAACTCCCTAAATGCCCCAGGGATGGGTGGGAGAAGATTACACAACTGCTAAACTGTTTCAGGCCATAGTTAGAATGGGTGTATTCATCCAACTATGTAGTACTATTTGCTGGGACAGTACTTAACAATTCCTCAGTGAGTCATATTCTCTGGCTCAACGTGCCTGTAAACAAAGACTTCGCCACAATGATGAAGTCATTACTCACAGCACAGTACAGAGACTAAAGACTACTGTAGGATAGAGGGACTGAGCTAACACATCGAATCTCTAGATTCCCCTCAGAATACCAGTTTGTTCCTAATATTAGACAACCTACAGAAACTTTCATGAAGTGAGAAAAACAAACAATTAGAGGCAATTGGCAATTTAATCCCCTTTGTGCATTTTGGCATGTTTCCCATAACAAATGGAGGACTTGAAATCTCCTACCCATGTCTTATTTCAAGACAAATCATGAGTCACCCTATCTTAATGTTGTGCCTTCTTCAATGGCTTGGTTAAGTTACAGCACCATCTACCCATTCTTGAGCTGTCAGAAAATTTAATTTGCATAAAGTGACTCTATTGCCAATATCTATCCTGCCTCAATAGCATCTAACCCTAGCATTTTTTAAGAGGGCTCAGCCTGCCTCAAAACAAGCTTATCAAATAGCCAATCTCCCACCTTTCATGCAATTAGCTTCTGGGTGAGCTTGTTTCTGCTATCAAAGTAGGCCCATTTTGTCAGAGCTGCCCAGTGCAGCCTCTTTTGCTTTACTGACAACTCACCTCATCAATCAGATGACAAGTTGTTTTAATACTAAATTTTATAGTCTTTTGAAATCGGAGTTTCTTTTTGGAGGATTAAAAAAATGGAGCAAAGGAAATTGCCCAGAGCCAAAGTAAAGTGTGCCAGAATATACTCACCATTACATTGTCATGGATCACTGCTGGCTTAATGGACAAAAAACTATTTTAAATCAGAGCAGCTAAAGATGATTTCTGCCTGTTTCATTCATGGGCTGGAATGTGATAAAGGCAAAGTCAAGGGAATGTGGCAGATAGTCTAGTGGTTAAGGCACTAGAGGGAGTTCTAGATTTGCCTTAAGCATGAAAGCCAGATGGGTGAATTTGGGTCAATCTCACCCTAATCCACCTCACAGGGTTGTTCTCATAGGATATAGGAGTATTAGGTATGCTTGCAATCTTGAGTATACTCTCATTACTAAGATCTAGGGTGGCTGAGCTGGGAAGATAATTTTCAGGCAATGGTACACACCTGGACTGCTGGTGTGGTATCAATATATACTCAATATTTGGAGAGAGGGAGTTTTGAAGTTAATGGCTTACAGCCACAAAGCCACTGAATGTAATCATCTCAACCTTTGTTTCAGAATTTTATCATCTCAGCATGATAAAAATGTTCTTGACTAAGGGAGTTCATTTTCTGCCATAGTTGCCATGACAAGCCCATAGAAATAGAATAATATGGTTTATTTCTTGATATGATGAGGACAAGAAACTGCATTTTGTAAGAAACTAAGTTATAGAATTGATAGAACTGCTATGATCTGTACAAGAATTGCCTTGGTAAGCAATATAAAACTGTTGTCAAGACTTGGAATATTTTAAACATGTAGGCCAGCTTCTGAAACCATTTGCTGAAGAACAGAATATGTAGTTGGTCAAATTAAAGCAATTTTGCCAGGTCCTGCATGTAGATCATGTTCGTTACTCCTGAATTGATGCATTTTCTCCAATTCACTGGTCTAATTCATGAATAAACAGAACTGCAGTGTAAGGAAGCTGGTACAAACATAAAGTTTAGCAGCTTATCCATGCTGGCAATCTTGTATCAATAATAATTCATTAACTGAAAAATTGTACAGAATCTAACTGAGAACGCAACCCAGTTATATTATGTAAATCCTTTACAATAAGGACTTGCTTAGCGACTATTCAGTGTTATGGTGGACCCCCCCAAAAGCTACTTAGACCCAGTTTCAAAGGTAGAGCTGCTGTAGGGTACCTGCAATTGTTCGCCCTTGAATTGCAGGGATGCTACAGTGTCCCTACCTATCTCTCTCCCCCCCCCCCCCGGTTCCTGTAGGCTTTGGGCCTGCTTCTCACTGGGCCCACAACCTCCTCACTTACCTTTCCAAGATTTCTGGAGCATGGGTTAGGGAAGGAGGGCAGGCCACTCTGTTCCTGGGCCGTGTGGCACAGTTCCAGGAGTGGCTGCCATTCTTAGGATAGCCTCATTGAATTGTGGCTGCTCTGAAAATCGTGGTTAGTTTCAGGATCTCACTATGTGGCCCAGGAACGGAGCAGCC